GGAAGAGTCTGTGTATGTGGGATTTTTTAGTTATTCTAAGTTATTCTATTCAATTCACTTGACTAGCCTTTATTAAGCCCCTAATATGCCCAAGGTCAAAGATCACTCACCAGCAATAACTCCTCGACCAAATTTCTCCCCTTCATCCAACAACGCCTGAATTTGAGTGCTTGTCATCCCAAGCCTCTCCACCAGGATATACTTCCATGATTCATCTTCCCAGTCTTTTTGAGCAATGTGAATAGCAATGGTGCAGCTGTGCTGGTTTGCCAGCAAAGGACGCCAACGAGTCTCTAGGGTTTTGACTCCATTTAGGACCAGCCCAGCATAAGGCTGCCGGAAGGAAAGACAACCAAATTTCATCTCTTTCTCAAGCCTCTGATTCATTTATCATTTCACCCTATTTCAAGTTTAAAAAAAAAAAAAGAGTAAATGAACCATCAGAACACAAAGTACCATCTGAATCCCCCTCCCTCCATGCCCATTAGACAATGCCCCTGACTTTCTGGCAACTATCACGAGCAGAAACACTTTACCCACACTAACTGGGGGAAACATTATATTATAGAGCATTTTTTTAAAGAATGCAGCTTTCTTACATTCAAGTCTGTAACTAATACTGCTGAAGGAAAAAGGGACGATGAGAGCTCAAAGCTGTGCCTTAGAGAATCCTATCTGTACTTTAAGCAAATAGGAATTCAAAGAGGATCTGTGATCAGTGTGGGAAATTCTGTCCACCAAAGCATATTAAAATCCAAATTGTAGGAGAAAAGTACCAGAGGAATATGGAAGTTAAAGTATATGCCCAGGGTCACTTAACTAATAATAGCCAAACTTAAGTCTTCCTAACTCCAAGCCCAGCCCTCTGTCCAAATGGCTCTATCGAATCAATCTATCTATCTATCTATCTATGCCTACATTTGTATACCTCTATTTACTTGCCTATATACAGATATCTTTATACACATATCTATATATCACTGGGTGCCTAATTAAATAATTCTAATTAGCACATGCATTGTTCCAAAGCAAATGCTGCAATAAAGTGGGATTTTGAATACAGCATTTGCCTTCACTCTAAACTAGGCTAAACAATTTCCTCATTTACACGATTCATTACAGTTATATCTTCCACATCCTGACTTTCCCCATCTCGGTTTTGATATATCGCTGGTTGGCATAAGAAATTAAATGGGAATTTGGGGGGAGTTTTGTGGAAGCCACAGATGACACAGAAAAAGTTCTGAAACTCAGAAATGCATAAAATATATGTATAGTATTGTATAATATCAACCCAAATTTTACAATAAGGTACTGTAAACACCCCATAAAAGAAAAAAAAAGAAAAAAAATCAGGCTTCTTTTCTGGTATGAAGAAAGGGTCAAAGAATTTTGCGTGGATTTTCCAGATCTGGAGGCACTGTACCCCTAATCCCCACGATGTGGAAGGGATAACTGTAACTTACTTAGGAAGCCCCTATCCCTTTTTTCCTTGCAGTTACAGCAGTACAGAAGTAATCTTCAACCTGTACAGTCAGTTTCCAAACCAGTGGAATCCCAAAGAATGAGATCTGACTGTAATTGTGAAGTGAGTTTATGTATCCCATCTAACAGTGGCTCAGTGGATAAAGTGCTGGGTTTGGAGTCAGGAGAACCTGAATTCAAATTTGGCCTTTGACACTTACTCTCTGTATGACCCTGAGCAAGTCACTTAACCTCTGATTGCCTCAATTTCCTCAACTATAAAATGGGAACAATAACAGTACCTCTCTAGAAGAGTTATTGTGAGCATCAAATGAGATATATATATATATAAAAGCGCCCAGCATGGTGCCTGGCACACGGTAGGTGGTATATAAATGCTTATGCCCTTCCCCGCTTCTCCTTCCCTAACTGACAGAACTTTCAGGACAGAAGTACTAAACTGTAATTCTGATCCCGTGTAGCCTAAGGAAAGTGACTTCTCTTCATCTAACTCAACTTTCTCATCTGCAAAATGGAAATAAATCATATAATTACCATTACTTAGTATATTTATTGCAGCTATATAATCAAGTATATAAAGCAATTCCAAGCAAAGAGAGGCAGGGGAAGGCTAGCTGATGGCATCCTGAAGTTATGATGCACCCCAAAGAGGTCCTCATCACAATAAATATTAACACCTCTGAGAGCCAAGTGATCAGGTTTCAGCAGCAAATGGGACATACAAATCATTAGCAATTCCAGCTAATGACCTCAAAGTTAGACAACAGAAGCAAAAGAGTTAGAATACATTGCATGAGAATAGGATATAGGAGGCATGGGTAAATAATTTTATTTGAAAAAGATCTGGGGGTTTTAGTGAACAGTAAGCTAAAAATGAGTCAGCTGGGTGACTTGACAACCAAAAAAAGCCGAGGAAACCATTCTTAGCTTGCCTAAACAGAGGCAGAGTGTCAAGGGCTTGGGGGAGGATAGCCCCACTGATTTCTGCCCTGGTCAAGTACCATCTAAAGTATTTGGTTCAATTTTGGGCGCATTTCAGGAAAGTCACTGACAATCTAGAGTATAGGGAGATGATTGGAAACCATGCTATCCAGAGGAGACTTGTCCAAGGAACTGAGGATTTTTGGCCTGGGGAAGAGTGGGACAATTTCTGCTTTCCCTTTTCCAGAAGATAGAACTTAGAATGACAACAGCCTCTGTGGGGGGTCTTAACGGTTTTTGTGTCATGGACCCCTTTGGAAGTTTGGTGAGGCCTAAGGACCCCTTCTCACAATAAGGCTTTTAAAGGTATAAAACAAAATAGATGGGATTATAAATGTAATCAGCATATTGAAATACAGTTTTAAAAATATTAAAAAAAAAAACTATCGCAAGTTCATTGGATACCAGCTTAAGGAAGTTTTCCTTTTTAACAGAGATTCTTAAGCTGGTGTCCAATGAACTTGCGATTGTTTTTTTTTAATATTTTTAAAACTGTATTTCAATATGCTGATTACATTTATAATCCCATGTATTTTGTTTTATACTTTTTTTCCATTGCTAGGAAGATATGTAAAAGCGTGACGGGCTACTAGAGGAGATGTACTCCCTATCACTGGATGACTGTGCCAGAGAAATTGTAGAAGGGATTCCTATCCAGATACACAATGGATGAGGTGTCTCCCAACTCTGATTTTGAGTCTTGCCTTGTTCTTTTGCTGCCCCCGATGGTTCCTGGCAGGGTCAAGGACCACGTTAAATATCTGTCAGCATTATTAGAAGTAAATGATACTTTCTGGCTCCCAATTTTAAGGTTGAAAACCCAACACCTAGGATGTTGTAAAGAAGAATGAGACCCTTTAGAGAAGTAGATTGCACCTTCAACTTCACATCTCTTTTGCAGCTACCAATCTCCCAAAAGCCTCAACTCTCCTGTCAAGTAATATGTTCCTCACTATTATCCTATAGTCAGTTAGTAAGTACTACACAAAGTGATTCGCACAGAAATAGTTCCTATCTGTAAAGAACTTAGGATGTAAAACAGCAAGTCACTTAACCTCCTTGGGCCTCAGTGTTCTCATCTGTAAAATGGAGCTGAACTAAATGGCCTTCATTTTATTCTAGATACTAAAAAGATAGTAAATAGGTTGCTAGGTGGCTCAGTGGATAGAACACTGAGCCTGGAGTCAGGAAGACTTCCTGAGTTCAAATCCAGCCTCAGACACTTACTAGCTGTGTGACTCTGGGCAAGTCATT